AGTTGCCTTTTGAAAAAGCACATTTGAGACTCTCATTCTTTCCTTTTCGTGAATGAATGAAATGAATTTCCCTTTCATTTTACACTGGCCAGATTTATCTGTGTACCTCGACTTCCAGCTGGGGAAGATCTTGTTTACTGGTGAATCAGCCTTGATCAGGTTTAAACCAGCACTTTGTTGGCCTTACCAATCCTATCTGAAAGGACGATTTCGTGAGCTATATGAATCCTTGGCCACTAAAAAGGTAGGCGTGTGCATGCACAAAGGTTATCTGAATGGATTTGAATCAAGTACGGTAATTTCAGATGATCTCAGAAGCTTCAAATAGTGGTTTATGGAGTTAATCACCAAAACCAAGAAGACAGATCATTCACACAGCCCTGGTTATTGCACATTTGATGTTCATGTAGCTGTTGAAGATGAGGTAACCAATGAAGAAGTTTCATGTCAATTTCTTTCCTGGAAGAACCAGCCCTGTTCAATTCCCCAACCCAACTTCATTCTTCTATATGCCTTTCTCCTAAGTTTCCCACATGATGACAGAAAACTCCAATAAACGCATCTTCTTAAGCATTGCCTTTAAGCAAATGTCTTCTCCACTCATTGGTCAAAAAGATCGGTTAGTCTAATAAGGGTGTGGCTCATCAATTCAAGGAAAACCAGTCAGCCAATCTGTATTTGCATGGACCTTTCTTCACATCGAGGAAGACTTATTTAAGAAGATAATAGAATCTCAGGTAGACATTCCTTGGTTTTTGGAAAAGGAGACTTTTTGAAGGGGAAAGCACCATGGCTTGGACACTGCTTTTCCTCTCACTTCTGACTTATTTCTCTTGTAAGTATGCAGAGGACCTCTTCTTAAACTGTCCAATTAAAAACTCTCCAGTTTGCACCATATAAAATCCAATAAGGTCCATCCAAATGATGGTTCTGGAATTTCTGGAGGCCCACATAACTCTTCGTTATTTCCTCTTTTTCCTCCACTTTGTAAAGGCGTCACTTCACAGCCCACCTTGACTCAGCCCGTCTCCCAGTCTGGGTCTCCAGGAAGAACAGTTCAACTCTCCTGTGGCATCAGCAGCAATCCAAACACCATTGCTTGGATTCAACAAAGATCTGGAGAAGGTCCTCGCTTTGTGCACTGTGATGGCTGCAGCAGCAGGGGACCAGGGATCCCAGACCGATTCACGGGAACCCGATCAGGCAACAACGGCTACTTAACCATCACCAACCTTCAGCCTGAAGACGAGGCCGATTATTACTGTTGCATGTGGTATAGCAGTGGTAGCGTGTTCCACAGTGAGACAATCTAATGGGGAACTGAGACAAAAACCTGCACCTTCGCAGAGCAGGGAAATGTTCAAAGGTTGTGTTGGTCCCTCTCTGGTCTACTGAACGTGCACGACAGGCCATCTCTTTCAGGAAGAGATTGAGCCAAGGATCCATTTTGCAGAATCCATAATCAGTTTGATATGCAGGAAGACAAGACACAACAGCCCACCATTTTTTTTTTGTCTCAGCATTAAAACGATAACTGTAAACACATAGTGATGTATGCCTACCTCTTTCATACCTCTCACTTTTTTTTTTAGTAAGCCATTGATTTCATTCTCTACCGTTGGCATTCTTCAGTTGAACGATTATGCTTAGCCTGTGAGCAAAATAAAACAATTGGGAGAAGTCAATTGTTTAATCCAGAAGAAAATTCTAAGATGAATGTTCATCATTGCAGGTCTCAGGAAGGTCTTCTTGACTCTTTCCTTTCCTTTCCTTTCCTTTCCTTTCCTTTCCTTTCCTT